TCTATATGTTACCCGGTGGTACGAAATGACCTCCGACCGGCTCGGCTCGACCTCGATCTATCTACCTCGTCGGTGGATGCCTTCGCAACCTGCAAAAACTCGACATCGGAGGGGGTTTCCCAGTGAAGAACCTCCGATGTATAAGTTAGCAAGATTTAGAAGATGATGAAAAGTATGTAAGTGTGTACGGAATGTAATGTAACTGTGGGCATACCTCAATCTCTTATATAGAGAGATGGTAATTTGTTGCCCAAAAATGCTCGATGGTCTGCCAGTACCGCCCTTTCATACTGTCCAAACTGCTCAATTCTGGTAGGCCACATGGCCCTATCCACGTGTGGGTCTTATCATAATAATATTCCTTCTTATTTCTTAGTCTTCCTTATTAGATGGTCTAATCGTGCGACCGCCTCCATTACCTCGAGATATATTGCCAATGATGTCGAGCTCCTATGCTCTGCTCATATGGTCGATCCTACGACAAGTTGTACCTTCAGGTCGAGTTTCAACCAGAACATTTGAGGGCCCTAGTTCGACCTGCTGGTGTTTCTTGTATCAGTGACATTCCCCATCGACCTGAGGATTCTTCGGCCTGTAATGCCTTCGATCTTTGTTCGACCTTCCAGTTCATCAGGTTTGGTCATGCTGCTTCTCGGGTCTTGTTAACCCAGTGCACTGTCCCATATTGTCTGGTCTCCCCCACTCTAGTCGAGTTAGGTAAATTGATCCGAGAGTGAGTTTAACTGCCCATGGTTTTGGTAAACTGGCTTATTTTTTGCTTTTTCAACCCTGCCTTTCGTTTTTCCTTCATTTCTAAAAATATATTCGACCTTTTGCCAGGTTTTTTCCTTTTTAAAATTTAAATATCAAAGGCCTGCAACTACCCCCACACGCCCAGTCCAAACGTCTTGTTGCCTGGTGCTTCACAATCCGTGTTGTCCTCGTGCAATGCGCTTAATGAGTGCCTAATTAATCTCACCCTTTCAATCTCCCTTTAATCCTATGGTCATGCTCGAGTTGTCTTTTTAAGTACTACTTTTGATCTGGACAGACGTATTTGGCCTTAATCCAACGGTTGAGATCGATCGACCCCTTGGTATTTCAATCTTCTTCCACCTATAAAACGACTTCTTGACCGATTTTTCTAGGTTTTTCACTTCTACAAGATCTCTCCAATATATAATTCGTCTTATTCTTCGAGTTCTGCAAGCATCAATTCTACATCCGGAGTTCCTGTCGTTGATTCACCACAAACCACCAGCGTCTGCACTTTCTGGATCTACTCCGCAACCATGATCAGTAAGTGTTTCTCGCTTTATGTTTCTATTGGTTATCACATGTCTGGTTTTCCTTTTAATTTCTCCCTTCGCTTCCCCATTTCGAACACACCATCTCTATTCATCACTCCACCGTCTTCTTCCACTTCTTAAACTTTCTGCTTTTTTGTTTTTCTTTTTTCATTTCGAAGATTTTGCCACCTCTAGTGAAGCTGACCGATATTCCGGAAATGAGCATAGTACCGTCTTCCTCAACCTCTACTCTTCTATTTACTCCTTCGACCTCCTCTTCCGTGGAGGTCAATCCTTCACCACCTACTCTCTCCTCTTCTCGACCTGTTCCCTCCTCTGTTGTGGACCGCCCCCTCGTCGGCCCCTCATGTTGTGTAACGAATCTGAGATCGACGATGAGGATGAAACAGTTTCTCTTAGCCAACTTGATCAATCGACCACGACGCGATCCGCGTGCTCCCGGCCATTGCATCCGACGTCCTTCTCGAAGTCCAGCGAAAAGAATCCAGCTGCCCAACGAATTTTGAGATCAGACGATTTCCTTCAACGGTAATCTACAACGTCTCAGAGTCTGCGAATTTTAAGCCATAAGTGTTCAACTCTAAACCTCTAGATCCGTTGTGCATATGTTTACTGTTGCTATTGAATTCGTAACTTGTACAGAACGAGATCCAAACTGATCCCAACAAAATGTTTGTTGCTTATTGGCTTGGAACAGCTGTGAGCTAAGCCAAAAGAGTGTCTTTGCAAACTTGATTTTATACAACACATGTTTGGTCAGACAAGTGTTTTGGAGTTCTTAACTATAAATCTGGTTTTGATCAGCATGAGTTGGACTAGTCGTTCAATGTTTACCGATTTGAAATGGTAGTGGGTGCTAGGTCAGGCGAGTGTGAAGTTTACTTTCGAAATGTAATTTATGAGTATTGGGTATTTAAAAGATGAATGTATCTTGTTTATGATCTAGTTTTTGAACAGCGTGAACTGACCACTTGGTACCATGAGTTTTTATCAGGCTTTGAAGCATTCGATTTATTTAAATGGTGTATTTGGTAGTGATCAATCATGAATGACATTTTTAACTATTGGTCTCTTAGGTCGCTTGCGGCACCGAAGTGGGTGTGGGTGTTGGTGGGGGGGATGGGGGGTGAAGGGGGAAATAGATGATGTGACATCTAAGATAGCCAGATTCAACAATATTTTGTCTCGAGTTCACATGTGTTAAGTAATTAGACTAGTACGATGATTGACTAAGATCTCTAAGATATTATTAACTAAATAAACGACAGCTTACTAGATTTACATTTATCTGTGCTTGGTTTTGTTAGGATTTGAGTCCGACAATAAGACATCCCCTTTCTCGGCGAAGAACACACTAATCACTTATAAATATGGGATTCAGATAAATTTTCTAAACAATCTCTCAATATCTACGAATTATATGATATTTTCAGTGATTTGGAGACTGGCTTGAGAGTTGAAGAGTCTATCTCAGAGCATCTTCAATGTGTAATGTTGTAAGTGAACTAAATTTTCCATGTATCAATTAAAGAAAGGTTATGTGAATCCCCATCACATGAATGTTGAGTCCACAACTTCTAAAATTTTAAGTGTTCCTCAATGCACAATGTGAATAACTCCTAAATACTATGAGTTTTTTAAAAGTTTTTTTATTTGGGGCTCAAATTTTCAATAAGCCAAAATTTTGGGCCTCTTTTTGTACAAAGAAAAATTAACAATCAATCACCACGAAAAATAAAAACAAATTAATAAAACACTCCTTCATGTACCAGCAAAACATGAAAATATGAGAACAAAGTTTGGACAATATTTGTAAATTTTCCCAGCTGTACCTATTACCTATATAACTCAACTCATCAAAAGAGCTATAGCAACAACGATTCGATTTTGCAGTAGTTTTAATTTGTTTGTTCAAAAACTCAACAACTTATGAAAAGCAATGACACAAGGGGAGTTCTCCATATTCCATTTCGTTGGCAACTGAAATAGATCTAAACGGATTGCGTGGTACCCCCGGCTTCTAAAATAAATTTCATATAATATCAATGAAAGGTCGAGATGTAGCCTGTGCGAAGCAAGCCGGAACTGGCTGAGATGAAGAAAATGTTGACACCGATGAAATGTTTGAAAACATAGATAGTGGAAGAAGTCAATTTCAATCCGATCTAGCAAGAAATGCTCTACCAATAAAGTAAAGCGAGAGAGCTCATTAAGAAGGCCATCTTCCATCCGGTGAGCTCCGTTGGGTATGAATTCTCTAATTGGTTTCTCCTTCTTCTTTGCTTCTTCCGTCCTTTCGTTCTCATCTTCCCCTCTTTCAAACTTTCGCTTGAAGGCCCGCCCTAATCTCGAGCCCCGTCATCAATAGGCCCGTATCCCCGCTTTGAATCAAGATAACATAGAACTCAAGGCACAAAAAATGCTCTGCCCATCATAAATCAAAGAAGCTTAGCAGCAGATTATCTACCAAGCAAGCACACTCTAACCATACCTCAACAACAACTGGACAAATAAGATGGTTAAAGATCGAATCGTTATTTAATTTTGTCTAACAAAAAATTGCATCTGACCCCTCTTATCACATGCTATCACAAAAAGAGATCAAATGGTTGTTCAAATAGTGACCTAACATTCGACCCAAGAATTAGTCAAACAATCTTCTCAACCAACGGGGAAAACTCATACGCATAAATATTTGAACATATTCATTCAACTAAATTCAATTCAAATCAATCAAATCCTACAATAGTTGAACATCACTCATGAAAAAGAAAAATAAAAAGTGAATCGGTATATAGAATGAAGAAAGAAAGAGACTCATGTACCAGAAACTTTTTGTTGAATCCGCAATTGTATTTTCTCGGCGAAGTAACTCCCAGCAAAGTAGTCCTTGGTTCAATTGTGCGAGAGGAAATTGCAATTTCACGATTAGTAAAATTTTGGTGCCTGCCAAATTTTTCCCTCAAAATTTCGACGATTTTGAAAATTTTATTTGCCCCTTCTCCCCAAATTGGCTGAGTCATCCTGTCGAGGAGGGTGTAGATATTCCATAGTCTCTATCACAGTGTAGAGGCCAACTCAGCACAACATCTATCTTTTATATTACCATTGGAAGATAAAATGTGATTGATATTTAATAATTTATTACGTGGCATATTTTTCACCACAACAACATACCACATTAGAGATGCTCTCAAGGCTTACACCCAATGCTATTTTGTTGATTAATCCGATTCGCGATGTGATTTGAGACAGTTTTGCCAAAAATATTGATGGACAATATACTTGATTTTCCTTTCATTTAATTTGGAACAAAATCCACTAACAAACTCTTAAACACCATTTATAAAAATAATCGAACAACATCAATAATAAAATGCACCAAACAACCATGTCCAAAGCAAAGCAACTAAAAAAACACACACGTATGCATAATATATATTTATTATAGTTGGGATATTATTTAAAAGGTTTTTTTTCGTGTATCTGAAAAATGTTACGGTATATTTTATAAACTTGTGATTGGTGGTTGGAGTTGGGCGCTGCTTCACATTACGATTTACGGGTAATTCTTCTCATTTTATTCTGATTAAATGAGGAGCAGGGGTATAAATGAAATTTAAAGGCATAATAAGAGCCTCAAAAAATCTGTTTTCGACTTTCGTCTTATGACTTCGTTGAGACCATCACTTGTGGCTTCAAATAACTTCATACAAAATTCAACAACATGCCCATGCAATACACCTCTTCAGTTGAAAAATCCACAACATTTGCATCAGCTAGCAATATATGGAAAATTGACCTCCTTCAAATATCCTCCCATGTTCAGATGCAAAGACAGATTAAAATGCAAAAAGCCTAAATAGACAAAATAAAGTACCCATCACATGTAAAATATCAAATGGTTTAACTTAACTAATCAATAATTTATCAAGTATAGATATAGATATAGAATTCCCACAAACACACGACGCATGCAAAGTTTCCTTGAGTACAAGTACTTGCTTTCTTCCTCCATAAGCATAGATAAAATAGTTGAAATTCTCTCTTTTCATAGTGTCATTCATACTTGCAACGTTTTCTCCAGCTTCTTCACAAATTTGTTCACCTTTCCTAAAAAGAAACATACAAAATATCAGCATTAGTATTATATGTGTAACCAAATATTTAATAAGATTTCCACTCTAAACATTACCCTATATTATCCCTATCAATGAGCTGACCACCAAAATGTATTAACAATTAATCTGGGGTTCACATAAGTTATACCACAAATACTTGAACCGTTGAACCGCTCCTCTCCGAACTGAGTTGCGTCTCCCTGGATCGTCAGTACCTGCAAAACACACCGGGGGTGGTCCCGGCGCGAACACTCCGACGCTCAAGTTAGTGGTGGTCCAAAGAGAAAACGACAAAGTAACGAGAGAATTTGTATGTGTGTGTTGTGTAAATAAATGAACCTGTGCCCCTTTTATAGTTGAGGCAGCTGAGGACTCCTGGTGAGACAAGAAGTCTTCTTCGTATGTACCACTTAGATAGGTCAAAAGAGTCCTTGAGGTTGTGAACTTCTTCATGACTTGAGCACACGACTACCTCCGTGGTCTGGTCTCCTCGACAGGCCTGTGGCGGAGGTGCTTAGCTACCGTGGTGCCCAGCTGCCTAGGCGACTACCTCCGCCTAGCTCATCACTCTTAATACTCCACCTAGCACTCCTCTCTCCAGAGATACCACGAACCCCGCCTAGCTGGCTGGACTAAAACTCGGATCACAACCAGTCCTTCATGAACCGCTACTGACGACCACATCATCTAGCCCCCCCATTTCTTGGACTAGCTGCTACAACTTGGCCGAAGAAATAAAGAAACTATTCATGTCATGGCGAATAATCGAACCCTTACTATACGCCAGTTGCTTAAGCACACATGTCGACCACCCCGCGACGCCGACCACCGCAACGACGACCACTGAGGTGTGCCGACGACCTACGATGCGCGCCGACCACCTTGCGACGCCGACAACCGCGACGATGACCACTGCGGTGTGCCACGACTTCCAACGCGTGACGGCCTCCCTCAGCGCCCACCTGGTCGCGACATACCGAGATGACGACCACGTCGGGGTGATGCCCATGTGTAACGCCCCGTTTTATTTTAAAGAATTTACCGAATTTATTTGATAAAAATCAGAGTTATTTTTTTTTTTTTTAAATCTAAATTAAAACATTTATCGAGANCCCACCTGGTGGAGACCTACCGAGGTGACGACAACGCTGGGGTGATGCCCACGCCACGGTGACGACCTCCGCGACCCTGAGGTCCATGCCGACCACCCGCAGCGCCGACCTTCCAAGATGCCGACCACCCGCAGTGCCAACCTCCCATGTGACGACCTCCTCCCGCGTGACGACCCCCCGCGGTGCCAACCTGGTGGCGACCTGCCGAGGTGACGCCCGCGCCATGGTGACGACCTACGCGATGCTGAGGTCCATGCGCCGACCTGCCAAGATGCCGACCACTCCGCCTAGCTCACATTTGAGCTAGGCTCCGCCTAGCACTCCTCTCTCCAGAGGTACCACGAACCCCCGCCAAGCTGGCTGGACTAAAACTCGGATCACAACCGGTCCTTCATGAACCGCTACTGACGACCACATCAACATAGAAAACTCCGGGAGAGGACTGGCTCCCGAATAGTTGAGCTCACATTGAGAGATCTCGTTTAGAAGTCTAAGGGTGCATATGAAATCTAGGATTTAGATGAGGGGGAAGCTTTTAGAAGGGGGTTGATTTCATATATGTATAATACACACACACACACAATCACTCAAGGAGTAGCTCAAATATTGAGCTAAGACTTCGAAATTCAGTACCTCGAAAAAAGCTTGGTGCGGCTGTTATTTTCCAGCAGACTCACTTTATTATCATATGAGTTGAATGAATATCTTTATCTCAATTGCTAACATTAGATTGATATAAAAATCTTTCCAAATCATATCAAAATAGTTAGCTTCTGCATTCTCGCCTTCAAACTGAGTGCAATCATATTCAACAATGTATTCAAATTCTCATTCACTAAAGGCACGTAGTAAAGCATATGCATATGCAGGGAAAACTTTACCGATCAATAATGTACATCCCACTTCGTCTACATAAAAGAAATACCAATATAATTTAGCATGATGAATTAAGGGAAATAAAAGAAATAATGATAATCGTGAAATTCATTCCATCCCTAATGCACCAGATATATCATTACATAGAAGCTCATTCAGTACACTAATCATCTCCCAAATACACACCTAGAATTTTTGTTCTTGAGAGCATAGCACCATATGCATCAACACGTCTCACTTGACATTATCGAAAAGTGGTCCAATAAGCAATTATATAGTAGCTATCACTTTCTTGCCAGGAAATTGGTTGCAATATTAAGAATGTTTCTTAAAAATTTTATTTGTTGCTATTCTCTCAGAATACCTGTTCACTTTATCAGTATTATAGACAATCAAAATGAAATGAATGTGAAAAACAATCAAAATTTAAAATATTTACATTTCGAGCAAGATATAGAACAAGAAGAGAAGGCANAAAGTAACCGTACCAGCAAAAGCTTGAGAATGTCCTAATCCCTTTGCTAACTCCCTTTGTGGGCATAACGAATGCGGATATTCCTGCCATCCAGAAGCTACAAAAGTACGGAACACCATGAACAAAAAGTCCAATGAAATAGCTGAAGAAAATGCATAAGCCTTTGAAAGGAAAACTTGTACAGAGTACTCAAAGCATACGTGGCCATCCATTTCCTTCATGGCTTTGTTTGCCGCCTCCGCGGAAGAATATTTCACAAATCCATATCCTCTTGATTCCCCACTCACACGGTCACATATTACCTTAACTATTAACAACATGAAATGCAATTTTCATTTAAAAATAATGTACAAATTTAGCCCAAAGGTGTGACGTAGGCTAGTACATACCTTCGATTAAATCACCAAATTCCTGAAATGCATCCTTTAAAACCTTTTCGTTCGTATCGCAAGAAATTCCTGGAAAATAAAAAAAAAAATTCTTTTAATTCCATATAACCATAAAAAAAGATAGTAGTGAGCACTTAGTTATTATTCCAGATGCACATTTCTTAAAGCACATGTTTTTGCTTGATACCAGTTAGGTAACTATTGAATCACACCCTCTGTAGACTATATAAAACTGCGGGTATAGGTGAAGGAGCAATTCAAGGTAGTTACCAAAAACATGTTTCCTTTTCATTATTTTTCAAACTGGAACCAATGAACGAGAAAATAAGATGAAGAAAACTTTTACTCCCGTTGGAGCATTTTATCAAACAGATTACGGATTAACAATTAACAAACAACAAAAACCCTAGGTCCAACTTACTCTTCTTTCACGTAGTAATCAATAATTAATTAACTGAGAAGCTAAAATATTCCAAAGTTGCAAGAGAGGGACGGATGGAGACCTCCAACAAAGAGTTGCGTGCAAGAGTGACGCCATGTGAGACATCGACAAGTGAGGGTCCTATTGAAATTGGAGCGGTACAATCGAGTCAACCGCTGCATTTAAGGCAACCAACTAGTGAGCAAACTCCAACCTTCGACTGTTTGTAAAATTATTATCAGCCTGTGGAGAATTTATCAGAGGATGAAGCAAATCTCATACAGGGGCGGAAAAACAATTGCACCAACAAATGTTAGACCATGCATATCAATTCAGTAAATTACTGAAATTACCATAGGCCTCATTAGGATCAAAGGCTTTAATGTCCACCACATACAAAGACACCGGAAAATAACCAACCGCGTGCTTCCATATATACCTGGATAGTTTACGCCCCACTTAAATTGGGATTAATATGAATATGAGCAGCAATCCTACGATCCCGAGTGCTCTGGGAAAAGGGAGGAAGATGAAGGACAGTAAGATGACGATAAAGTTAAAATGGACGGAACCAAGCCACAAGATAAGTGCCAATAATGTATGAAAAATCGATCCCGGAGTACCTGAACTCCGCTGGGAACCAGAAAATTAGTTCTCAGAGGTCAAAAGAGATGAAATAATGGATTCAGAACCGAACCCTAATGGGTTTAGAACCGATACCGAACTGACAACATTTCGGTAACCGATTTTTGATTACCGTTACACATAAGTCGGTTCGGTTCGATTTATTTTCTCATCGGTTCGGTTCAGTTCGGTTCAATTTTCGATTTTAGCCTAACCAATAAAAGAGAGTTGAAGTCTTTTATATGGCCAATTAAAATTGTAGAATGATAATAGTTAATATACAAAATTAATAGTAAAATAAAAGAAGTGTTGAATTGTTAATTGACAATTGTGGACAAATTGGCTGGTGAGTGACGTTTAAAAACAAAAAATCTGGGGGTGCAAACATAAATTTAAAAGATGGCAAATTAAAATT